CTAAATTCTTTGGTCCTGTTCAGTGCAACCTTTGACTCCTGGTAGATTTCTGCTTTCTGTGGAGTAATGCTTGGATGCTCTTTATTGGTATTGAGCAGCTGCTACATAAACTTTTCTTCCTAGGCCACAAAGAAAATGTTGGGGAAAAGCCAATGCCACCCAACTCCCCTGGATTCAGTATTGTGGTTTTTGAATTTCCCTCTCCCTCTACAAGGAGGCAGCTCATGTTTATACCAAATATATACTTGGAATACACCAAACTTGGAATACACCAAACATCTACCGTGAATGGCATGCCAGGCAGCTAAAATTAAATGTCCAACAGAAAGACTAAGAGGGACTTAAAACCATGGACCTTTAAGATATCTTGTTTCTTCAGAAAATAGCCTGCTTCCTGGAGCTCTGCCTAAGACTGGCAATACAGTCCTCCATTTCCACAACACAGTCCTTCCTGAGGACTCCATAAAACATGGCAGAGTGTCTGCACCCAGGCTGTGCTCCAGCATTGCCCACTCATCTCTCACAGCTTTGCAGCTACACAGTATGGGGCACTAGTGAGGCTGCTGCCTGGCTGGGTGCATGCCATGCACAGCAAGGCAGGGCCAGACAGCCAGGAAGGCTGAACTAAAGGCACCTTCTTGGCTGTCAGGAAGGATGGGAAGCACAGATGTCCGTGGGAATCTGCCTGCTCTTTGTCACATCTATCTCCATCTGCAGCAGCCCTAGCTGGAAGCCCAGAAAGAAACTGCAGCAACCAACAAGGGCTGGGATTATCTTAGGGCTCAGCAGTGGAATTCCTGGAACAACCTCTGTTGGCTGAAAGAGCTTCTCAAGTCCTTATAGGACCACAAGCATCCGACACCAGAGGTTTCTGTTTCACTCAGAAGGTGGCGCCACCACAAAAAGTGCTTGTGCTGCCATCGTGGGTTACTGAATGAACAGGTACTCAGACAAAAACACCATCTGAGTCACCCATGAAGTTTCCTGAAGACTTGTGGGTTTTCTCTGCAGGTCTCTTTTTTTGGCTGCTGACACAGACTCAAACTGTTTACTTTCTCAACCCAGGCAGGATACAGCTAAAAACAAGAGGGTTGCAAGCCTTTGTGTGCTGCTCTGCCTGCACCTGCCCCTCTGGGCCACGCAGTCAAAGTGCTGCTGCCTAATTTTAGTACCAAAAGGAGGGATTCCTCCCTCTCTGGTTTGCGGCAGCAGGCAGCTGCAGAGGGGACTGCACACTAATCTCCCTCTAAAATACAGAACCCCTTCAAATAAATAATTAGGTGGCCAGTGTTATCTGACACTCCCCTGTGTGCATCTCCCGCTACACCAACTTATCCTATAATGCCACTCCTCAGGAGACCGGACTAGTGAACCGCGGATTTATTCCTAACTGCTTTTCTCCCCATGCTCTCCTCTGTGCCTTTGACTTAAATTATGTTAATCCAAATCCCTAACAAAAACATCTAGGAAACTCTGCATCAACGGAGCCAGCTACCAGTCCCTATGCTTAGGCTTCTGATTTTGGCCCCTTAGGTTAAGAAAGTGAGCACATGGTTCCTGACCACCAACATCAGCAGAAGCTGCTCAACCTTCAGCACTAGACCCAACTACAATGGTTTTGATAATTTCCCTGTTTTGGTGATGGATCTCTCCTCCCTAAAATGAGAGCAGCAGTCAGTATAAATCTGCAGCAGAGCTTTCTTACAGACTCTGGTCCTTGATTTTGCCCTGTAAGATGATCTGGGTAAGGGTCCAAACAAAGTCTGATATAAATGAGTCAGGTACAGCCTAGGCAAGGGCTTCGCCATCAAAACCAGAGCACAAATATGCTCAAAAAGTTCTTACTTTGCATACAGAGGGATAGAAAGACATTTACAGATTTAGGTAATTGGAGCATATACCCACTGCTCAGAATGAGGATGAGAGACTTATGCATATTGTGAAACCCAGAAGGAAAGTTTGCTACTGGGGTTTCACCAGAGGCCTGGGAGGCAGAGCTGTGGGGCCAGCACTGTGTGGTGGGCCTTCCAGTAAAACCCTGTGCACATCCAAGCCTCTTCTTGTCCATCTGTCATCCAGGGTCAGCCACACTAACCAGCACCACAGATGGGCACTGAAACACATGGAGATGCACTAAACCTTGCAGATAACACAACTTCACTAACAGAAGAAGACCAAGAAGGCCAGAGAGTCATTCATCATTTGTAAACTCTCAAGAGTGTCTTTGGTTATAGCTGGATTTCTTTTTTAACATCTTTTAGCATCTTGAGCAAGAACTTTTCGAACATGGAGTGAACTCATGCTCGCCTGTGATCTCCAGGACAGCACCAAACCCATATTTTCCAAGGGAAGGCAGAAAGCAATGCGAACAGGGAACACCTGGTCGCCTCTTAAGTGTTATTTTTCCTGCTCTGGAAAAAATCCAAATGTATTTTGTGGCCAGCATTGAGTCTTTTCCTCCCAAGACTTATTTTCACATTCCTACATCAAAAATACAAAACCCAGAAGATCTACGTTCTATAAATAATGTCCCAATAGTGCCAAGGTCACCAAGCCGTTCCCTCTGGCACCAGGCCAGAAGTCAAACATAAACAATCTCAACATCTTTCTGGTTCACGTGTGCTTTTATCCTGTGCCAAGGGAAAGCTTGTAGCCAAAAACGTAGCACTAAGAAGACAGACACCCCCACCTCATGCACAGCTCCACCCAGGTCAACACGCAGCCTCCTGGGCAGCCCGGTGGGAAGGCAGCCAGTCCTGCCTGCGTCAGAGGGACGTACACTTTGTGTTCTAATGCCATTTAGCAGTTTTCACCAGAAATTTGGGGGCTTACTGGGCGAGGACCAAGCACACACTTCGCACAGAACATTTCATGATCCAAACAGCTCAAAGTGATATTTGTAACAAGCCTGTGGTACCATCCCTCCCAGCCCCAACTATTCAACATGGTGACCTTCAGAGAGCTGCAGGACCAGTGAACGCCAGCTGCAGATGTACTCCTGGCATTTTGCACGCTTCAGCACTCAATGCTCAATGAGAACAATAGGAAAACATTTCCCTTTGGATCACACCCCAGCTTCCAAGCAGCTCCAAACAGACTGAAAACCTCAGGGGAGGGCATGTCTGTGGCTTGTTCTCCAAGAGATCAATGGCCACCCTAAGCCTCACCTTGCTGTGCATCTTTGGAGATGCTCTTCTGTTCATATCTTAACAATAAAACCACTACAATAAAAACTACAGGCCCACAAGCAGAAAGGACCAACTTCTCTTGAGGCTGTAGAGCAGAGCTCACCTTCTCAGCCTCCTGGCTGGGACAACCACCTACCCATGGGAGACCTCCCTTCACCTTGCTCTGCTCTGCAGTTGAAGAACAAGAACACACATATACTAAAGCAACCAAGTGCCCCCTTTTCTCAGCTGCCATCAGTATCCAGCCCCTCACTGCTGAGAGCACCAGGACACCACAGGTTCATGGTGTCCCTCACACTCTGCTGTGCACTCATCAGGTGCATATTTATGCAAACTAGTTGAGACAAGGCTAGGGCTAGTTGAGGTGCTTTCATGCTGAGTCTTAAGACCTTGTTTATTTTGGGGTTTTGCCAAAACCTTTCTTAGGAGATTTCCTCCCTGGGCAGACTCCCCTGCTTGAACTGTAACTACTATTTATTTGTTTAAAAATCACTTTCCTCATCCACAGGCCCTGAATGCCCTTATTCAGCAGACTGCTCTACTGCAGACAGAGTTACTGAACAAGTTATTTATGCCAAGTCCAGAATAGCCAGTGCTCTTGCACACTCTGTAGTTTCTCATGGCTAGCTGTGCTAGTGGTACCCTAATGTCAACAAGGCTTTGGTTGCTGCTGGCATTTGTAACTCCCAGCCTTTGCAGACTGAGGGGATTAAATGGTACCCATTTAATCATTAGCAGCCCTGATTCTCAGGCAGCTGCAAGAGGGTCAGGTTCCTTGCTCAGGTAAGAAAAAGGCTCACTGAACTCCAACTCCAAGCAGTGCTGAGGCAGGGCAAGGAGCAGGTGCTGAATAAGGCGCTGCTTCTTGTTCAGCCTGGTTTACTCAGTCGGAGCTGAACTCAACAGAGAAGCCTAATAGCTGCTGCTCTAGACAAAGCTGCCCAGATGGGACAGCCAGACCCTGTAAGAGGCATTGCAGACCGCTCAGCACGCAGGAATGTGCAAGCTCTGGCAGGGATGCATAGCCCGCTGAGAACTGGCTTTCCTCACCTTCCCCTCTGTGATGGCCGGGGGTCTGTCCCGGCTCCCTCCCGCATCGTGGCTCCCGCCCCCTGCCCCTCTCCCTCCATCCCCCCCAAGCAGCTCGCCGTCCACCATGGCCATGCCCTCCTTGCGGCCAGGGCTCCCGAGCACACCCACGGGATTGCATCCCACGGGGAGCACAGCTGTGCTACCTTCCCTCATCCCACCCCACGCTCAGCCACCGAGGCTGACCCCCTAGCCAGGACTCAGCCTCCCCTTTCAGGCACCTGAAGTACTCATCTGGGGACCGTGGTTCTCCGGTGACGCTTCCCGAGTGGACGGAAAGGAACGGAGCACTTCCAGGAAAGAAGTGACATCGGACCCCTGCCTCTGAGTCGAGTAACAGCCAGGGGAAAGCCCTCGTCACAAAGCCAAGGGACCGCCTGCGCGTCACCTCGGCACGGCTGCTGTCCCTCCAACGCTAGGAGCAACCTGCCACCCTCCCACCAGGATACAACGCTCCACCACCTCCTCCTCCATCCATCCTACCCGGACCGGGCACGGTCCCATCGCAGCCAGCACAAGGGATGATTCCTCTCCTTAAGCCCCTGTCCGTCCGTCGGTCCATCCATCCCTCCCCCGTCCCTGCTGACTGCGAGGGGAAGCGGGGCCGGCTGCCAGCACCGGGCTCCCGCGGGGCGCAGCAGCGGCGTCCGCGCTCCCGTTCCCCGGGACCCCGAGGGGCGGCGGGGAAAGTCCGCGGCGCGGGGGGACGCGCACAGCACTCACCGCCCTAGCGCAGGTCCCGGCGGCGGGGGACAGTCCCGAGGGCTCGGCTCTGCTGCCCCATGGGCAGAGCGGTCCGGGGGCGGCCGCGGCGCCGCGCAGCCCGCAGGCGGCCAGACTGAGCCCGGCCCCCGCGCGGCGCCGCCTTTACCGCGCCCGCCCGCCCCGCCCGCGCCGGCCCACGGCGGGCGGGACCCGCCACCGCCACCGCCACCGCCCGACGGGGTGGCCTCGCCGCCCGGCCCGGGCCGGCCCCGCGCAGGAGCGCTGCGTTACCGGCGGGCTGCGCTGGGTCCCGTGTGCCTTCTGTGCAGGTTACGCGTGGGCCACCTGTGACCGCATCTTGACGCGTGGGAACAAAGAGCGGCGTCCGGGGCCGGGTTCCTGCGGGGGAAGGAGGGGCGGGGGCATTCATGGAAAAAATCCCACGGGAGAAACAAAAGGCTCCTGTCCCACCCGGCCCGTCGGGGAGCTGCCGGAGGGGGTCCCACCGCTTCATGTCCGACGGGTTGGAGCTACCGAGGGTCGGCAGCGGCACTGTCCCGGTCCTTCTCTGCGGTACAAGTGGGGCCTCGATCGTGCTGGTTACGGCCGCGTGGTTTCGAGGACTGCTTTACGATTCCCTGAGAAAGGCAAAAAGGAGTAAACGTGGGCGCAGGGGAACACGCATAGTTTTTCCAGGTCAGCGGAACAGGGGAAGAGCCTGGCTGCAGAGAGAGCTGCAGGGCCAGCTCCCACAGCCAGCCTGGCCAGAGCCTGCTCTGGGGCGAGCCTCATATAACCGGGTCCCTCTGGGAGGATGCTCGGAGACCAAGTCGGGCGTGCCGGCATTCTAATGTTGCAGTTGTCTCAGAGCAGCTAAGATTGTAACGAGAGAGAATGACAGCATGGTAAAGGGCATCAGCAGGGGCTATTAGACACAGGGGGGTGGCAAAGGAAATGGCGGCAGCTCTGTCCCTATCCTGATGCAACCCCTTTTCCCAAGGGAGGTTTCTGGTGTGTTTCACGGGTCCAGTTGAAAGGTACAGAGGAGGACGATGCCTGTGTGAGGGAAAGGGAGAGGGAGGTCCAGAGAGTGGGATTGCGTGGGAACCTTTGAACTCTCTTTAACCCCATGGATAAACCCTAATGGAGAACCGCATCCTCAAACATACAACGTGATGAGGTCATCGCAAACACAAGGGCGTCCTTTGAGAAACTGAAGGCTCATCCACTGGGAACTGGACTGAAATGTACCATTTCACAGAGGCCAAGAAATAAATCCTTGGGAAACAGAACATTTCTTCAGAGGGAATATCTGACATTTCAGTAGCTGGTTTTGCTGCATAACGGGGGAAAATGCTGATTTTTTTTTTAATTATTTTTTTTAATCCAAGTTCCAAAACAACTTCAATTCTCCCTTGGAGCTAGCCAAACATTTTACTGTGATAAAGTTCAAAATTTTCAGTGTGATTGTGCCAGAACATGTAAAAGAGATGAAATATTGTACATACTCCATCTGGGCTTTGTGGCATTGAAATATGATAATGAAATACAAAAGCACACAGAACAAAATGGGAAGGCACAGCCGAAACAATCACATTTTACATTATTGAGATGAAATAACTATGATATTGTCAAACAAGGAAAGTCAAAATATGTCATGCTGGCTTTTTTTAAAGAGAAATTTGCATTCAAAGAGATCTCTCAAAATTGATTCGAAGAAGTAATGAGCAGTTTTCCGAGGATAGCTCAGGCTGCTGCATCAGGGTAAGAGTTTCAGAAGTAGTAAACATTTATTTTCAATGTTCGTCACTCAAACAATTGTGTCATCTGATGTCACAAGGAGCTATGGGGTTATTTCTGGCACGTATAAATGTGCTTTTGAAAATATTACCCTCCGCCAAGATTTGAATTCATAAACAAGAGCCAGAGGCCTTCTGCAGCAACTGCATTGTTTGAGGCTGCCTAGATCACCCACCCACCCACCTTTTATTAATTCAGAAGCCTGGTCAAGCCTTTGTCCTCCCTGCTGGGTGTTTCAATGGCAAGACAACTGCCACAGGATGTGCTCTCAGCTCTGCCCCTCTCCCCTCTCTCTTTGATGCTGTTTGCTCAGAGCAGATCGTCACAGCATTAGCCCTGGTCTGTGTGACCACATCTGATAAGTAACCTCAGACTTTCAGGCACATTTTTTTCCTGGCTTCCCCAGCAACAAGCAGATGGATGGGTGCAGGCAGATTTCTCCTGACTCCTTGCAGGCGGGCGTGGGGTGCAGCACAGCTCACAGGGGGGTCAGCAGCTCTCTGCAGCAGGAGGCACTTGTGAGAAGATGTACAAAAGGCAGCAGCTGGTCTGCGGGAGCTTTCACCTGCGCCACGCTGCTGGGTTACACGGGCCCAGGCAGGCTTTGGTTTCCCTCCCAGCAGCTTTAGTAAGTGCGCAATCAAAGCCTCGCTGAAGCGGCTCTAGCAGGCACCAGTGGCCTGGGGCTGACATTGACGTGCAGCCTTGCTCTGCAGGACCAAGGAAATCAAGTGGCTCAGAGTCACCAGCTCGCTGTGCCCCAGGAGCTTCGGCTGAGGCACTTAATCAGGCAGGAGAGAGGCAAGGATGGAAAACCAGCTCCAAGCAGGACCGGGGGGAAGAAGCAAACCAGAGTAGAGAGGGGAACAAGGAGAGGGCTGCACCTGCCCCTGGATCCCACACAATCCAGCCAGAGCCTGGTGTTTGAACGAAAGGGAAAAAAAAGTAAAGGAAAAATTTGTGAACTATCATTAAGGAATGTCCTGCGCTTGGTAAGAGTCCATGGACAGAGACAGTGACTAACAGAGAGTGGGCCACAGAGAGATGGGGGCTCAGGGGCCCCAGGCAGCAGTGGGGAAGGGAGAGGTTGGTCCAGAGTCCCTCCCAAGCAGTGCTCATGAATATCTGCTGGAGGAGCATCTATAAAGGAGAAGGGTCTAGCAGCCTCCTTCGCTGCGGGGGAGAAAGCCTTTTGTGTAGATCAAAGGCACGGCAGAGCCCTGTTTTTCATAGTCCTGGGCTGGAGAAACACCAGCCTGCATTCTGCATCTCCAAATAGGACAGTTTGTTAAACACGATGCGTCTGAAATGTGCTAAGGCAGCTACACCAGTAGGATTTGTTACATGCAGTGCTGAACACATTAAAATACATTCTGAGAGGATGCAAGGCAGGCTGGAGCACAGAGACTCGGTTCTGTTAGACTGAGTGTGGAGTAAGCCACCGCAATGCTGACGGGGAGGATTTGGTTTTTCCTCAGGCAATACTAAGTCTTATTTTTTCTCCCAGGTCAGCTGGAGCCTTGGAGGGGGCAGATAAAGCTGGTGGGTAGCACTGCCCCCTGCTCTTCCCTGAGGGCCTGGCCCCTTCTGTCATCTTCTCTGGGAGAGCCAAGCCCGGGAATACCCATGAGGGCTATGGGTGGGTGTGTCCTGTTGGTAATGCACGGAGAGGCAAGAGAGAAAGGGTAGGCTGCTGGGAGGGCCCAGAGCTGGCAGCAGTGGGGTGTGCCCCTCCTCAGATACCCCCTCCTGCGCCCCAGCAAACGAAGGTGGCCCTGTCCAAGGGGCTGGAGCCATCTTCAAGCAAGCCCCCTGCTTACGCAGCACCGGATGGGTGCAGACCTACTTTACTTAGCCCTCTTGCAAGGTGTTGGGTGGAAAGGACTTGGAGAGGACAGCGGGTCCCTCTGAGCCCAGGGAAGGGAGGCAGCAGGCTGGCATAGAGCAGGCAGCTGCCTGCAACTTTGAAACAGCCAAAATAATCAATACCCTGTAGGTGTCTCTGGTTTTTTGTTGGCACATCTCGCAGCTCTGGCCGCCTGTCCCCAGGTGTAACCCCAGCTCTGCAGGTCCTGCAAGGTAGCATGTCCCATTTGGGCTAGGATCACTTCTCATGAGAGGAACTAATTCTGCCCCTGGGGCTAGGCTGGGGCATGAAGATGATGACAGGAAACTTTCTTTACCAGCATCAAGACACAAGCTGCTTTCAGAGCAGCTTTTTTGTGTTGGAAGGGTATCACAGAGATCTGGTGCAGGGTCTGTGTCCCCAGGCTGCTCTTTGAGGGTGCTGCATAGTCAGATGGACAGGCTTTCAAGGGGAAGAAAGCTGTTGTGAAGATTGTGTTTTCTGATCTGTGAAAAGTGGCAAGGTCTGGAAAGAGGAAAAGTAGGTTCTATATTATCACAAATTTTTTGCTCTTCTTTCAAGGAAATCTCAAAAACTTGTTTCTGGTCAAGGCATTTTGACTTGGGGCCTGCAAATGGTTGCATTTGAATCTCTGTCTTTTAAATAATTTTGTGTATGCACAAAGTAGAAAAATTGTCATTGGAATACAAATTTTAAAAACAATATCTGAACATTTTCTCTGAAGCAGAATAAGACATACTCAATGTCTTTGAGAAAATAGCATTTTTAGGAGGAAAAAAACCCACCAAGCCCCACAACAAACTAAAACACAAAAATTAAAGTGAAAAAGCTACTCCCAAGTGTCATCTGAAGGAGCCAGAGGGAGCCTTGTGTATACCCAGTGTCACTAAAAGGGGCTCCAGCTCTTGCACAAGACTCCTGCAGAAGCTTTGCTATCTCAGCAGGTTGGGCACAGATGCCATCCCCTGTAAAAGAAGGTCACACTGGAGCAGAGCAAGATTTTTTTTCCTCTTTTTTGTGCTCCTCAGTGGCCTCCCACACCCCTTTGGCTTGCCACCCTTATTTTTCAGAATTCTGAAATGCTTTTTTGCATATAGCTGCTTTTACTCCCAGCTGCTCGCCTCAGCAACTGGGCTCCTCTGAGCATCCATGAGAATCTTCTTTTCAGTCCTTTTATTCTGCATCTGAGATTGTCTTGTTGTTCCTACAGTATGTTGAGATAGCTGCTGACTTCAGTTTTCACCCTTTGGGTTGTCATTTTCTCACACTTGAAAATACTTCCTACAGTTTCCTTTGAAAGATGCTACAGAAAATGTGCTGAGTGGTAAATTTATAGGCTATAAGATCAGGGAGGATGGTTAGACTATGGAGTTCAAGCTCTTCT